ATGATTGCAAAGTCAGACGCCACAGCCCCGGTGTGGGAATGTTTCGGCTCCAAACCGAATGAGCAAGGTGAGCCCATCAACACGGACGAGCCAGTTCAAAAGTGGTGGCAACGAAAAAAGGCAACACAACAAASTTGCATGCCCACCTGAAGCATCACCACCAGACCCAGTGCTCCCAGCTGGGGAGTGCAGCTCGAGATGCAGGGCCTTCGTCCCGACAGTCAACACTCACTCAGGCGTTCGGTCGACAAAGTAAATATTAACAGAACAGCACAAAATGGTGTTCGCTCATTGAAAGTGAAGTTCACTACATCGCTAAAGAAATGCTGCCCTCTAGTTGAAAAGTCAGCACTAAGAGAGATGCTGCAGACGTTTGACAGACAGTACGAATTGCCTGCGAGAAAATAGATGTCACAAACGGCCTGAATGTTCAATATTTATTGAAGTGCTATTTTGTTTGTCGAGACTTTTTATTTATTGTTTTGTTTGTGTGTGCTTTTATATTTGAGTGCTGTTTTTGCTAACAGAGACGGGGTCTATTTTATTTTTTGTTATTGTTTTTTGGTTTGTTTTATTTATTTAGGATATTTAAACGTACTTGAAATTACAATGGTAAAAAACACTGAGAGATAAAAGTTTATTGTATTTGAAAGGGTGTGCATTATTATGATATATTATCATGTTGACAATAATATCGTTTATCTGCAATAATTCGTGGGACAATATATCGTCCAGCAAAATGTGTTATCGTCCCAGGCCTAACGAGGCGTCTCATGAGCGTTTCAGAATCTCTCCTCCGACTCTGTCGTGTGTCCTGATGTTTGTGTGTCTGTGCTCACACAGTGTTATTGTAGTGGTTTGCTGTGCAGCATTAGTTAGCCACATGTCTGATGTCACAGGTAGCAGTCAGGCTAACGTGAGCTCGACTGGGTGATGTTCTAGTTAAAGATGGTTTGGTTATTTATTTTCACGTGACCTTTGACCTCTTCTTTCCAACAGCTGAGTGTTCGAGGGAAGAACAAGAAGGAGAAACTGGAGGATTTCTTTAAGAACGTGGTGAAATCAGCTGATGGCGTCCTGGTGGCCGGAGTGAAGGTGACAATGACTGAATGTGAAACCTGGAGTTCCACCTCATCTGTATCATCTTGTTTCTGTTCTCCTCATCCGTTTTCCTGTGTTTCAGGATGTGGATGATTTCTTTGAGCACGAGAAGACGTTCCTGTTAGAATATCACAACCGAGTGAAAGACGCTTCGGCCAAATCTGACAGAATGATTCGCTCACACAAAAGTAAGAATCCATTTAGGAAATTGAAATGAGCATTTTGAAGGTGTGGGGTTCATGGGTAATTTGATGATACATAAAGTTGGCTTGATTAAACGTGTGTTCAGACGCTGCGGATGACATCAACAGAATCGCTTCGTCTCTCTACACATTAGGAACACAGGACTCCACAGACCTCTGCAAGTACGAACTGCAGCAAACGTGTTGAAGCGTCATTACAACACTTTGTGTTTGTGTTGTTGTTCAGTAACTGTGTTGTGTCTCTTCTGTGTCAGGTTCTTCTTGAAAGTGTCAGAGCTGTTTGAGAAAACAAGGGTAAGTTTGTTTTCACATCTCACTGTTGCTGTGGTTACGCCTGATGGAGATTAAACGCTGCCGGCCTGGTTCTAGTTTGAAAACTCAGGGGTTGTGTTTGAGTCTGAACGAACCAGCCACCGTGCTTTTGTGAATCTGTTCTTCAGCTTCTGTCTGTTGGTTTCTTTCAGAAAATTGAAGCTCGAGTCGCAGCAGATGAAGACCTGAAGCTCGCCGACCTCCTGAAATATTACCTGAGAGAGTCGCAGGCTGCAAAGGTCTGTGTGACAGCAATGGTCAGAGGCAGCATGTTTCTATGTCTGTCCGGCCGTTTCAGTCTTGTGAACACTCACAGTTTAACTGATCAAAGGTCACTGTGACCTCACAAAACATGTTTTTGTCTCTTGACCATATTATCTCAAGTCTTTATTTACATCGTCTTCACTTGGACTCAAAGATGAACTGATTAAAAATAAAGCACAGTGTGTTCATGATGATGTGATCCGCTGCAGGACCTGTTGTACCGGAGGAGCCGGGCCCTGGTAGACTACGAGAACGCCAACAAGGCTTTGGATAAAGCACGAGCCAAAAACAGAGACGTCCTGCAGGCCGAGACCAGCCAGCAGCTCTGCTGCCACAAGTTTGAGAAGATCTCTGAGTCCGCCAAGCAAGGTGTGATCCTTATTGTTGCTGCACACCCTGTGTCAGCAGTTTGCACTGGAGATGGTCCGATACCTCTCGTTACCCAGAGCGAGCTAACATGTCAGCAACGTAGAAATATTTCACACAGGAAAGTTCCACAAGTAAAACGGAGACGTGTAGTGTATAACAGACCTCAGTTTCCAAGGGTGGAGCTAGTGTATTCATTTTTCAAAACATTTCATCTGAGTCACATACAACATTAATAGGAATCATCACTTCATAAAGGGTTATTAACGTACAGCTGCCCGAATACCTGTAAGTTATTTCTTTAAATGCACTGGTATCAGCTGGAATGGAACCCGGGCTGCTGCAGAGGCTCGCGGCTATTTGCTGCGTGTCACCACCACTCTCTCTCTCTGTCCCCTTTTCATGTCTAACTCTCTGACCTGTCAGACAAAAGGCTTAAAATACCCCAAAAACATTTACTTAAAGTTCACTGGACAGATCAGTGATATCAGATGTTACACACAATCCAAGTATCAGAATCAGAACTTCACTGGTAGCATACACACACACACACACACACACACACACACACACACACGTTTCTCTATTCTCTGACACTGACGCTGAATGTTTGTTGCCTGCAGAACTCGTAGACTTTAAAACGAGACGAGTGGCGGCGTTCAGGAAGAACCTGGTGGAGCTCGCAGAGCTGGAGCTCAAACACGCCAAGGTACCTGAAAAACCACTGAAGGAACAGTCCAACACTTCAGTCACATCAGACGTTAGTTGGGGGGGGCACTCACATCATGTACGCTGAAGACAACATCACAACTTTGGGCTTTTTAACTTTGTAGAAGTTTTACATTCACAGAAACAGATGAGTTCACCTCAGAGTTCAGTTTACTTAAAAAAACAAAGTTACCAAACCACATGAAGTTTACAGAAAGTTGGTGAACAGCAGTGACGGTCTCAGGATGAACTTCACTGCTTCATGGCCTCAGTTTGTTCATGTGTTCACCTGTGTCTTGGCCCCGCCCCCTCTCACCTGCAGGGGAACCTCCAGCTGGTGCAGAGCTGCCTGGGGATCCTGAAAGGTAACACCTAACTGTACGGCCCCGAACACCCAATCACACACCCCCATCGCCTGAGCCCTGCCCCCCATCACCAACTGTGGGGCGGAACTTGGACGGAGGGACGGACAACACTGAGAACTCTGGACCAGAGAGAGAGAGAGAGAGAGAACAAAGGGTTAACTGTGACAGGAAGTCTGTTATCTTCATCACTAGCAACCACCGTCCTCCTCCTCCTCTTCATCCTCCTCATCCTTTTCATCCTCCTCGTCCTTCTTGTCCTCTTCGTCTTCATTGTTCCATCTTTTCACTTCTCTCTTTTCATCCTCCAGAGAAGAACACTGCAGGCTTCATTTCATGTTGACTAGAACAGATCTTGTAATCGGACGGTTTATTGTCAACGACAAAACCTGAGCCACATTAAAGAAAATACGTTTTGTAATATTATGAGAAAAAGTCATAGTTCTACAAGAATTAAGAAACATTTTTTTTAGCAAATAGCCATGAAGTAGAACTCTCATTTGAACACAGAGACAGACTGATCCTCTGATATTCACCATCTAACATGACAATTATCACTTTAGTATTGTTAAATTACAGCTTCATAATATTACAGCTTTATTCTTGTGATATTATGACTTTCTTGTTGTAATGTCTCAATTTTTTCTTTCTGTGGCCTTAATCCATTTTATGTGTCATTGTCTTCTTTATAATCATAGCGTTTTTTGGGGGGTTTAGTGTTAAAATCAACTTCTTGTGTGAAAACTTGAATGATGCAGATTAAACCTTTGTTCTCTACTGAAAGTAGCGGCTGAGAAGCTGGTCTCACGCAAGGGGGCGGTGGGTGAGGGTGTCGACGGTGGGTGAGGAGACGGTGTGTGAGGAGACGGTGTGTGAGGAGACGGTGTGTGAGGGGACAGTGTAAGAGGGACACAACAAATAGTTTTTTTAAGACAATGAGACATAAAGTGACTCTAAAGATTTTTTTACAGTGCAGGATTCTGTCTCCTCTGATCATCTCTGGTGCACTGTCACTTCATCCTCACCTTCATCCTCACCTTCATCCTCACCTTCATCCTCATCTTCTCTGTGTGTCCTTCTGGGGAGAAGTTTCAGCAAAAGACAAATTAATTTTGTTTTTAACAAAGGTTTAAAAAAAAAACTGGTTAAAGTTTTGTTCAGTCTGTGATGTCCCCAGAAGACGTGTGTGTGTCTGTGTGTGTGTCTGTGTGTGTGTGCGTGTCTGTGTGTCTGTATGTGTGTCTGTATCTGTGTGTGCGTTTATGTGTGTCTGTGTATCTCTCTCGCTCGTGCTCTCTCACTTTCTGTGTGTGTGTTAGGGTTGTTTTATTGTGAAGGTGAACTTCCTGTGCTGCTGTGTTTTGGGTCCAGCTCTCAGCTTCTGTTCTTATTCAAGTAAAATATCACAAAATAAAATATGAATATGTACATGTTTGTTTTAGTTACTAATGAACGCTAATCATCTTCTTCATCTTCACTAACTGTAGCTTCTGTTCATTTTCTCTGAGTCAGATGTTTTCTTGTCGTTCTGTTTAGGGCGGAGCTTCGGTCAGTTTTGCCTTAACATCGATCAATTGCTCTGTTTGATTTTTCATAAGTTTTTAAAAATTGAAAACTGTTTTTGTCCCTGTTTTTTTTTAAATGCACTGTACATGAATGTTTTTCACTCTTATGTGACCAAAGCTTCCATTTACTGATTAAAGATGAAGACGTGATAAAACAGAAATAAAATGACAAGAAGAACAAAAAGAACATTTGACGTGTTTCCTCTCGGAGCAGGTTTGTGATACATGCTGCTCAAACAGAGACTCAATAAACTTTACAGACACTTTTATCAAGAGTCTGTTTTTTGGGACCATCAGATGGAAAATGTCCAGAAATTGTTGTGTGGACATGTTGTGTAGCCAGTGTTTGTGAAGCAGCAGCCGATTGTTCGACTCGTTCACAACAACAGCAACATGTGGGGGACATTCAGGAACACGTCAGAGCTTCAGTGCAGGTCTCCTCAGATATCCACAAATCAGCTGTTTTTCCAAAAGCCTTTGATTCTTATGGAAACCAAAGGAGCAGCTGTGATCAATTAAACAGTGTGAAAGTCATATAATTAGAAGAGTCTGTCAAGAGACACTTTGTGTCACCAGGGACAAAAAAAAGAGAATAATCGGAACACAATGATCATGATGATCATCTTTCTTACTGCATCTTCCAGCAGAGGGACAGTTTGTGACAGGAAGTCAAAGTGTCAGCTGATAATAATGAACCAGGGGAACACTGTGGTCAGTGAGGCTCTTATTGTGGAAACCGGAAGCAGCAGTGTTAGTGACGTCAGTGAAGAGGCGCATGCGCAGTAGCAGATCGCTCCAGTAAAGACTCCGACTCATCGTGTGAAGATGAGCTCCATCGGCACCGGGGTGAGTGAGAGCTTCTCCCGCTTCTGTCCGCTTCTGCTTCTCCGGTCGCTGCGTTTGACCGGAGAAACATTCGCTTTCCTGCGGGAGACCTCCCGCTCTTCTCCGCATGGAGCCGTTAGCTCGAGTGTTAGCCTGCTGAGTCACAGCTAGGCTAACAAGCTAACAGCGGCTAAACTGAAAGTAACTTAACGAGAGGTTCAGTTAGCCGTTAGCTCGTGTGTTAGCTTACCGGAATTATATCAAGGTTTATATCAGACATTAGATCCAGAATCAACGACATGAAGGTTTATATCAGACATTAGATCCAGAATCAACGACATGAAGGTTTAGATCAGACATTAGATCCAGAATCAACGACATGAAGGTTTAGATCAAACATTAGATCCAGAATCAACGACATGAAGGTTTAGATCAGACATTAGATCCAG